GAAGAACCATGCAGTCTATATGTTACAACGCAGCATGACGTATAAACTTCAAAAGAAACAAATACAAATGTTTGTTACTCGTACTAAAGATATTAAAAAATACAGCATTTCGGACCTGGTGGTCCTTTTAATATATGTGATATATTATTACGTTCAAGAGCATAACTCCTCTTACATAAATATATATATATGTGTGTGTGTGTGTGTGACCCCAGTGGCACAGCGGTATGTCTGCGGACCTTTAACGCTAGAAACCGGGTTTCGATACCCATGGTGGTCAGAGAACATCGTGTAGGTTTAGGATTAACTACAAACAAACAATATACATAGCAAGTGACCAAACATTTATGTTTCATATAATACGACTGATCATCAAATGCTTGAGATATTAACTTTCAAAGCAATTATTTACTTAGAGAGAGACTAAAAAGCATCGGTATAGTTCATTAAATATGCGTCCCCTACATATAAAGACTAGAATGCATTGTTTCATAAGTTTGGTAACGTCGCTGATAACGATATTTTTGGTCTTAATGCTCCCAACATCCATAAATTAAAATTAATCATCTACAAGTTTACCTGTACTCCCATTTACAGGCCGAACAATCACGGACTCTGTACGAATTTGTCTTGGTCCGAATCTCGTTCCGGATCTGTTGGATGTACCAATATCTAGAGGAACTCCGACAAAACAAACATTGAGGCCTAGAAAAATAAGAATAATATATTATTTTAAGACATCAGTCCATATAATAAAGTTTATAGGATAACGTAGTATTTTTTTTAATTGTGTGTTATGTTGTTTTAAATAATAAAGAAACATCCGAAATTAATATATTTTTGTGTGTGTGTGTGTTTTAATTCTTATTTTTAAAGATATTAGTTTTGGGTAATAAGCAATTGGTGGACAAATGATTCTCAAGACATAGTTTCTCATATTTCGGTTCATAATAAACGTGTTGATGATTTGATATCAGTTTTCTCACTCAGAGCTGGCCCGGCATGACCAGGTGGTTAGGGCACTCGACTCGCAAGCTGCGGGTTCGAATCCCCGTCACACCAAACATGCTCACCATTTCAGCTGTGGGGCATTATAATGTGACGGTCAATCCCACTATTCGTTGGTAAGAGAGTAGCCCAAGAGTTGGCGGTGGGTGGTGATGACTAGCTGCCTTTCCTCTAGTCTTACACTGCTAAATCAAAGACGGATGGGGCAGATATCCCTCGTTTAGCTTTGCGCGAAATTAAAACAAACAAACAAACAAACACTCAGAGCTACATAAACTGTAGTTCCACCAAAGACTTGGGAAATGTCTATTTATGGTATCTATGTGATCAGGAAAGACACCAGGGGGATTCAGCGAAGAGATGGCAGGTTAATACCTGTTAATAATTTTAACACTACATGCAACGTCGTATCGTGTATGTTTAAAAAATTGTTCCACTTAAAGTTATAAGTTTCTAGGGATCATACACCTTTATTTCCATAGTATTATAATAAGGTATCTTTTGATTCCTCATTCTGTGAGGAGGCCAATATCGACACAACTGTCTTTAGTAATCTCTAGATCATTTAGCCCCTCCATCCTAATCTTGTGTTTTTCTTGAACAGTTTCAGGACATTGTTGACAAGGGAATGGTGATTACTGTTTCCATGAGTTGAAATATAGCACTTGGTTTGATAAAACAGAAGCGGACTATATTTTCTTTACTCCCGAAACACCAACAAATCACGTATAGTATAGTAGAAACAAATACTTCCGAAACACTAGTACATCATGTATAGTATAGGAGACACGAATACTCCGGAAACGCCAACAAATCATGTATAGTATAGTAGAAACAAATACTCCCGAAACACCAATACATCATGTATAGTATAGGAGACACGAATACTCCCGAAACACCAACAAGTCACGTATGGTATAGGAGAAACAAATACTCCCGAAACACCAATACATCATGTATAGTATAGGAGACACGAATACTCCCGAAAACACCAACAAGGCACACA